ACTGATAATCTTCCTAATGTTATGAAGGATTTAGGTACCTTTGAGAAGTAAGAATACCAAAAAAAAAAAAAAAGTACCTTTGAGAAGGGGCAACCTTAATATCAGAATGAGGATTGTCCCACAACTAATAAGTGTAGAAAAATCATGAAAGGAAATCAAATTTTCTTGCACACACCACAAGAGAAAAGATATATATGCAGTAAGAAAATCGCATGAATGTAATTTCCTGCAAATACAACGTGGCAGAAAAGATTGCGCCAGAAATTATAATCCACTGGATGCTGGCCGTTGGATATTTCCAGCTGAATAAACATGTCAAAGATTTTCGGTGGCGAAATCAACAATTTTGTCTGCTAATTTTTTTTAGTAGATCTCATATCAGAAAGAGTACTTAACATTAACTCTAAATTTGACATGATTATATTTTTTTCGTTAATTATTAGGATGATAAACATTTTAGTAATAAATATTTTCGGACAACGGATGTGATAAAATGTTTAAGCAGAGACAGTGAAGATACTTCCATCTTTTATAAAGAAGTGAAAGAAAATAAAATATAAAAACAAAAAGGAGTAAAAAATTGTACCACTAAAATAATTATATATTTTTATATTAAAAAAAGGAAAAAATGTTTTTCTGTCATAGGAGAAAAAAATTTCTCCTGAAATTCCAAAACGATGTTGTTTTGAGATATATAATAAAAAATAAAAAGTATTTTAAAAATTTTACTTTCCTATTGTAACATTTATTTTACTAAAATGTCATTTATTTTTTATTTTAAACCTCAAAACTACGTCGTTTTAAAATTGTAAGTGATAACTTCATCTCCTATAATAGGAGAAATATTAATTCCTTAAAATAATTAATCGAAGATAAGACTTATGATGGATAAACCGAGGATTAAAATGAAGTTTAAAATCAGTGCATTTTTGCCCGCCGCGGGGGGGGGGGGGGAGATAAAATTGTTAAAGAAACTCAAAACTAAACATCCCTAAGACCCTAAGGTTCTTTTCATTGATATTATGTTTTAATTTTATTTACATTTATAAATGGAAAACCAGTTACTGCAGAGAAATTATCTGCATTTATTCCCAAAACGACGTCGTTTTGGTATTGAAATCTTTAAAAAGTATAAATATAAAGATTATTATAACTCTGAAATAAATTAAAATTATAAAAACACCATGATTTTCGTCCCAAAACAACGTCGTATTAGGCTTACTGCAGATAACTTATCTGCATTAACTGCAAAAAAAAACGAACCATTTATAAATTTAATACAAGGCTTATCAATGTTTTTATAAAGGGAAAATATACTCTTATGTTGTAGGAAAGTGTTTTTCTCTCCTACACATACATCGATTTTCGTGTTTTTTTTTTATAAGTGAGTGGGTCCCATACATGATTGTTTCTATAGCATGAGAGAGCTTCTCTCCTATTACATGAGATTAATAAACCCTTTTATAAATGTATATAATATAAAGGTAAAGGATTTCTCCAGTCAATAGAGATAAGTTATCTTCAATAAGCACAAAACGACGTCGTTTTGGGGCAGAAATTAAAGTACTTTTGTAATTATAATATGAGTAAATACTTTTTTTGATCCTCAGCAAATTTCACAATACCCGCTTAGTCCCTAGCAAATAAAAAGTCTATTCGTGGTCCCTAAGAAATTCAAAGTGGACCCATTTAGTTGAAATCGTAATCCCTCACAAATTGAAAAAAAGACCCACATTAATCCCTCAAAAGGACTAAAATGTGTCCACTTTGAATTTCTTAGGGACCACGAATAACCCATTTATTTGCTAGGGACTAAAGCGGGCATCGTAAAATTTGCTGAGGACCGAAAATGGTATTTACTCTTATAATATATTGCAGGGTTATATTAGTCTTTATCATTATAATTTTTTAATCTTATAACCCAAAACAACGTCATTTTGAGCTCACTGGAGATAACTTTATCTCCGGTGACTGGAGAAATACTTTTCCCATAATATAAACCTATTAACAAATATTTTGCTTAGTAAAATTTGTTTAAATAATATAAACCATTCAAAATTCCCTCACCCAACACTTTAAGTTCTTTCTTGAAATGGTTCTTTACATGATATCTACTCTTCAAGCCCAATGGACTCTTGCGTGAGGGGATGCATTAAAAAATAATATAAACTATTAAAAGGGCCATCACCCAACACCTTGATTTTGGGTTGAAGTGGTTCTTTATATGATTTCAGAATTTTGGTGTCCCGGGACCAATCCTCGCCCCCTCCCCCCATTTTCTGCTCTCTTGTGAGAGGCGTGTTGGAAATATATAAGTCTGCCTCACCCAACAAAGCTTTTGAATTGAATTAATTCTTTATATATCTAATTTTAAAATTTTTAATTGGGGTTTAATTTAATGGACGGTTTATATAGTGCGATTCATAATTCAGTTCGTATGATTTTTGGGGGATTTTTTTTTTTCGGGGTATTTTGGGATGTCTTTATTTGATCTTCCTGGATAACACGAAGAAGATTTATAGACCGTATTGTTGGCAGTGGCACAACACTACCTTGAACATTTTGAGGAGGCCCTTAATTGATGGTGTTAATATGGGTTCCTCTAAGTCACCTTAATGCTACTATATCATTTCCAGATGCGATTTCACCCATGCTTCATTGTCTCCTCGAGATGACTCATTCCTCTTCATATGAGTTTTCTCCATAAGATGTGAGCTCAAAATTCCTCTTTTATAGTATGGTTTGGTCTCGCACAAAGATACATTCAAGGTTACATGCAACAATGAAAGAGTGGATGAATAAACACCATGAAAATCAAATAAATATATTTTGTTAAAAGCAAATGGATCAAATAAAAAAATGTAGAACTTCATATTTTAGGGAACTCAGTAGCAGAATAATGGGATAGGTTACATAGAATGATACTGCCATAATACCATCTTAAAATCATAACGGTTTGAGTACCGACGAAGGAAGCAGATAGAGAGAACAATATTCTATATCAATATCTATAGATGCGATGTACGTAAAAGATAAATCAATAATTTTTATTTATGCTAAATTAAAAAATCATGAAATAAGGAAACAAATCATCTCAATAATTTGGCCTATAAACATAATTAATGCTAATTTAATTTCTATCAAATAAGATTAATTAATTAACATCAATCTAAATGAATATCTATCATAATCTCCCCCGAATCATATTTCTGAAATTATGTTGTCCGTATTTTTTTCTTTCTGAAAAGAAGAAATATTCTTGTCAAGACCGAGATCGGCAAAAATATCAATTTGTGTGAAGCTAGTAACGATTTAGCTAGCTCTGAATCCTCAATGTTATACATTACAGCCAAGCTCACGCAATTCCAGTTATGGAGTCGATGTACTAAAAAGACTAGCTAGTTTATAATTGGAGCAGGTGAAATCCAGGAACCGGTCCGGTAAGGGAGCGACATTCCCATGCGAGTGTGGGTGCTCCTCCTTGTTTCAAATGTCGCACATAGTCTTACTTATATATGGTATGAACATTCATCCTTATTTTCTGACTTGTTTTCTCTGGGCTCAGCCCATATATCCCGTTTACATTAGATAAGATAATTTGTCTCCGACATATTTTTAAGATTATTTCATCAATATACAACTACATTAATATTCTTTCCACTTTTCTTTTTCCACCAATAATTACAAATTAAAATATTCATCAGTTGCTAAGAAAAGGGAAAGTTGGCTCACCTTCCAAGTTCCAAGACCACATGCCCAATCTGCGTATCCACGTTACCAAATAATATCAGATTCTATCACGAATATTTGAATCATGCGGCTTTCGCACAAATCTAACCATATTAATGGGTCCTAGTACAATTGTGATATGCAACCAAACCGACAAAAACTAGACTATGCGCGCAATTGTAGCTTCGTGGTACGAAAATTGAGTAATATTCTAGTCTTGTGGGACTTCGAAGAGTGAGTTTACACAACAGGAAATCCATATATATAGCTTTTGATGACACGTTTCGCTAAAGAACATGTTGAAATTTTGTATACGTAAGAAGAGCTAGCCAAGTATCGTATTTGGGATGGTTCGGTAGCCATTCTTTTTTAATTGAAATTTGGTGAATCCTAATCTGCTCTTTTTTCAGTTAAGTTTGAATATAAACCTACAAGTTAGTAAAATTTATGCTTAAGCATTTAGATGTTCTCCTAATGAAGTTCCCGCGATGAATCTACTGTATATTAGGATGACACAAAGCTCCTACTTAGAATCATAAATATTCTCACCGACCCAGGTGTTGTTGATAAAGGAAGAAAACTCAAATGAATTCTGAAGTGATTAATATGAATGTAAGAGGAGAATGTCTTTTATGCTCTATATAAATTAATATGCTTGGGGATAAGGGTATAAAATAATAGATAATATATAATTAAAGAAAGATAAAAGGGAAAGGAATGAAGGAAGATTGGTCAGATACAGAGACAGAGATTGGGAAGGGAGAATGGTTAAGTAGTGAGCCGGTAAATTAGGCCGTGTTTGGGGACTTGAACCAAAAGAGAAATCAGGCTACGGTCTATTTGGCCATGAAATTCAACAAATTCACATCTTAATTTTCTAATCCCAAAGCACAGACCTCACACTCATTGGTATCCAAAGAACTTCACTTGGTTAAAAAGTGCCTCCTTTACACTTCCCTCACCTGCCCCTCCCTCTCACCGTCACTATCTTCCAGCCACCATTACCACCTTTTCTCCTCACCTTACATATGTTTTTTTTTTTTCTAACTTGCTGGCAGTTTCACATTAGGCACCTAAGCCCATTCATTCCCTGCTTTCACAATGAAGGCAAGTCTCCTCACTACCTCCTCCACCACTCTCTCTCTCTCTCTAGCTCTCTCTTTTTCTCTCATGCAAAGGCAGAGATTATTATTATCTTATATTAGTTCATGTTATTATGTGTTGCTATAACATTACCAGAATGTTTTTGTTTTTGTTTTTGTCATTTGCAGTTCCTCAGCTGGATGCAAAATAAATTTGGTGGAAAACAAGATAACAAAAAGTCAAACACATATTCAACTACTTGTAAGTAATTACACTTTATTAGTTAGTTGAATTGTATCGTTAGTTTTGGTCAGTTAGTTTAGTTAGTTTTCAGATAATTGAAATTCTGCTATATCAGTTGTAATAAACCTGTATATATATAATCCTGTTGGAGAATCAATGAATCATCTCTTTCACTCTCACTACCAGAATCAATATAAGTCTTCTATTTCTTTATTAATGTTTATTTTTCTGTTGTTTCTCCCTGAGTTAATGCTTGATATTTCTAGCATGACCAATACGTTGTAAGAATATCCATTGCCTGATACCCATACAAGCAGTCTCTCTTAAGGAAAGGATGACAAAAATGAAAACATATACATATATATTGGGCAGATTATATTTATAAATTTTTTTGTTTACAAATTATACTATGTAGGTCCGGTCCTACATTAATCACAGTGTACGACCTGTCCTACATTAGTGTAATTGCAAAAAAAATTTATAAAACGGATCATGTCCCAATATATATATATATATATATATATAGAGGAACATATGTTTGAATGTATTACATATTTTACCGGCATCAAAAGGGTATATTCTTATACATGTCAATCAATAAAGTCATTTAAAAGTTTAACTTGTATTTGTGAGCGCATGGTTGGGAATGGTTCATACTTTCAAAAATATATATTTCATTCACGAATAAAACAGTTATATGTCTCATCACACTCGAATACAAGGGGTTAATATTTCTCATGTTATAATAGAAAATAAATTTTATTTCATACACATATATTAAAATGTGTGGGGCACATATAATTTCATGTGAGAAGAAGAGAAGAAAAGAAAACATGAGTCTCGTATACTTTTTATATAAGTATAACACATAAATTTATTTCTTAAGACACAATAAACCCATATTCCACAATTTTGTTCACATTTTTTTGCTTCCTTTCGTCAAATGTTAGCTTTTGAACTTTTGTACTTTGTTGTTCAATATAAAGAAACCAAACATCTTTGGTTGCTTGTGCGACCAGATCTATTAAGAAAGTGATCCAGAAATGAGATCTATCTTATTTATTTGTATTTGAATTGCACCCTGTGCATCTTTATCCATTTGAAATTTTAACCTTTTAATCTCAGATCCTAAATCAGAAAAATCCAAGATGAAATGAGGTTTTTTTTGGTACAAATGAAAAAATCACGCTCTCTTTTTTGAAACAAAAGAAAAAATCACTCTGAAACTTCATTTCAGGGTTTAAGATAATATTTCAGTCGATTTTTAAGGATCTAAATTGCCATATGCGGTCATTTTTTGATATCCCGAGACTTTTCTTCTTCGATTAGTGTACCAACTTTCCCATAGTGTAGGAGTTGAATAGGATAATCTTTAGTTGTCCAATAATATAATCGCTTAAGTAGTTTTTATTTTTAAGTATTTTAGCAGACAAAATGACTTAACGAAGCTGGACATAAGGAACACTATTTGTCTACTGTCTAGAGACATATTCTGGTATTATTTCAACTTTTTAGTATTGGCTGTTCCTGCACAAATACCTAAACATTTTTTTAATTGTTCGTTTAATCTTAACTGCTCTATAATTTGAGTTCGACTCCGTGTTTATTATTATTGTTATTATTATTATTATTATTAAAAAAGGATATATTTTGTGAATTTTATAATATCAAGAGAAACTTTACTTTGGTAAAGTGTCACCTAATTGAGACCTGATGTTAAATCGTGAAAAGTAAATACAAATATTATACTAAGAATGTGTGAAATTTATGTAATAGTTAAACATTTGTTGAGTGTTTAAATTAACTTATTTTAAAAGGATAAAATTTTATAATCGAAATAGTTTTGAAAAAATAATTTTTTTTTTTATAAAATGACAATCAAGATTGTAATTTGAGTTGGATTACACATTATTTTAAATTGACTAGAAAATAACATTGGGTTTATCTTACGGGTGCTGTAAACCCCTGCTTTTAGGTTTAAATTATCCTTAAATTTTAAATTAACTTTTGAATATTTTTTATTTACTTAAGGAAGAAAGTACTCAATATCTTTTGAATTTTTAAGCTGTTAATTTTTTTATTTTAATTGAAAGTTTTTAATATTTCTGAATTTATAAGATATTAATTGTTTCTACATTTTTATTAATATTTTTTATTTTAATTCCTACTCTTAGCTCATTAACCAATGCCTTATCGTACCTAAATTTGCATTTTCATGTTGTATATTAAATTTGATAATAAACAGTATAAAACTAAACTAAATTTAACCTTCAAAATTATTTGGTTTTCATCTCATTTTCTATCATCCAAATTATATTATTTATATCCCTAGGAATTAATTTTTCATATACAATTAAAATTTAACAGTTTTGTTTACCAAAAAAAAAAAAATTAACAGTTTTCGAATTTGATTATCAAAATAAGTTGTTCAAAAAGTGAATTCAAATTATTTTCAGGAAGCTCCCGCTTTCCTAACAAGTTATAACTTATAATTCAGGTGTGCATAATAAAATAATGTGGGTTTTATAAGGGACTTGATTGGTGAACGCCTTAACAAAGTTTGTGATTTTATTATTTTTTTCTCATTTTGTTAAATTCTATATAGCATCCCTTTGGCTTTGTTGTGAATCTTAAAAAATGGTCTAATTGAACTGTGTGCACAGATCATACAAAACAAGAGCCTCGAGAAGAATTCAGCGATTGGCCTCATGGTTTACTAGCAATTGGAACATTTGGAAATAACAATGAAATCAAAGAAAACCCAGAGAAGCATGTTATTAAAGAGGATCCTTCCTCATCAGAGGAAATAGCAGACTTCACTCCAGAAGAAATTGGAAAACTACAAAAAGAGTTAACTAAACTCTTGAGACGAAAATCCCAAGCGGAAAAGGAAATTGTTGAGCTTCCTCTGGACAGATTTCTTAATTGCCCGTCAAGCTTGGAGGTTGATAGGAGAATCAGTAATGCACTTTGCAGTGATTCAGAAGATAAAGAAGAAGATATTGAGAAGACACTCAGCGTCATACTTGGTAAATTCAAGGAGATTTGCGCAGATAACAGCAAGAAACCAATTGGGAAGAAATCAATTTCATTCCTGCTGAAAAAGATGTTCGTCTGTAGAAGTGGATTTGCTCCAGCACCCAGTCTTAGAGATACCCTCCAAGAATCCAAAATGGAGAAGGTACGCATGATCATCTGTCTCAGACTCAGACAGCAGCTAGCTTGCATCTCTCTCTCTCTCTCTCTATATATATATATATATATATATTAATTTATCTGGCTAACTGTGATAATTATATATGTACGTATACAAGCTTTTAAGGACAATTCTTCACAAGAAAATATACTCCCAAAATTATTCTGGGGCATCATCTTCAATCAAGAAGTACCTAAAAGACAAGAAGGTGCCAAAGGATGATGCAGAGGAGAGAGCAGATGATGGCTGTAAATGGGTCAAGACTGATTCTGAATGTAACTTCATATGACTCTTTATATGCCTGCCAATTGCCATCTTATAGCTAGACACGTACGTACGACTGGAGCGGCTCAGTGTCACACACTAACGAGATCCTCTTTCCTCTTGCAGATATTGTTTTAGAGATTTAAATCTGCCTCAAATTTTCGTGGCTCTTCTTTTGCATGTTCAGGTAAACTACCCTGGCTATGAGACTGTGAACACAGCAAACAGTGCTAGTGTCTTTCACACATTTTATTATTAGTTTCTCAGTCTTCATAATACAATAAATTCGCAAACTTACAATTTATTTTTGCCTCAGATTCAAGCAACAAGTCGACAAAGATATACTAACGATGATGAGGGGTATGAAGGGGGAGCTAGCTCTCTCTCTTTTTTTCTTTTTTTTTCTTTTCTTTTTAAACGGAGTTTATGTGTGATCTTGCACCAAGAAATGAGTGGTTCGGATCTGCAGTATCTCTGTTTTGTTAACGGTGCTTCCCTTTTTCCCTCTCTTTTTTTCATAGTTGTTTCTGCCGATGCAGAGCAACTCATGTTACACTAAATCGTAAAAAGGATAACTGATATGCAGGGGCAAAGCTACACATTCTGAACACTTCTCATCCTATTTTTAATCACACTTCTTTATCTGCTCTGCTTGTAATATGATTGGGAATGAATAATATTCAGTTTTATTGGTTTGATATGATGTTGTTCTGCTGACATGCTGGCAAATTTTAGCTTTTCTGAATGAAAACCTTTTTTTGTCTTTGAATTTTCTCCCTTTTATTATTTATTGGGGCTACTGTAGTTGTCTCAGGAAATTAAAACAGATTTGATATTCCTAAATCATTAACCTAAAATATTTCACTTAGGTAATAGATGAGTTAGTTATTGATTAATAACATTTACTAGTTAATTAATGTTAGTTATTTGTGCTTAGAAAAAATATATTATTAGTTTGATATTGTTATAAGATAAAAACGGGTTAAAGAACTACTTCAATCCAAAATCTTAAGGTGTTAATGATGGCCTTTTCACTTCAACCCAAAATCTTAAGGTGTCGGATGAGTACCTTTTTAATGATTTATGTTATATTCTCTAACAAAACGAAACACTTTTAGGGCTCGTTTGGTGGACAGGATAGGATAAAGGTAGAATACGATATGGGGCTGATAAGGGTATGATATGATATGGGGCTGATAAGCCTATATCAAGTCTTGTGTTTGATGAGTACCTGATTAGCAATCTGATAAGATTATGTAAAAGAAGAAAAGAGAAAGAAAAAACAAAATAGAATGCAATAAATACAAATATATTGAGTAGCGTGTGGATATATTGGGTAGCGTGAGACTATATTGGGTATCCAATATTGGTATCATATCCTGTTGAATCCTAACCCAGCTCCCCCCATAGGATAAAAAATCATGTATTGGATAGGATAAAATGAGACAATAGGATAAGCTAATCATATTCTATTGACCAACCAAACAAGAGATAAAAGTAGGATATGATAAGTTATCATATCCTATCTTCTTTATCAGGTGCTCCAAACAGGACCTTAATATTAAATGAAAAAAGACGGTGGCAATGAAATTTTTTTTATTCAAATCGATTTAATATGATTCGAGCACGGTTGTATCTATATAATAGAGGATAACTCTCTATTTCCCGTACTCAAACTCCAATTTTAAAAGGAAAATTAATCTCACTTACTAATACAGAGAGATCTTAAAACTAGGGGTGTTCGCGATCTGGATTGGATCGGTTTTGGAAGTAAAAATGATCTGATCCAATTCCTTCGGTTTGATTATGTAATCATCCATTCGATTTGAATTTTTTTCAAATCCGATCCAATCCAAATTTTTTTGGTTTGGATTGGATCGGTTTTCGGTTTTTTGAAAATCCTATAATTTGTTTCATAATTATTGAACAAATAACATCTTTTGTATACATTGACTTTGTAATTTTATTTTATTTTGAAATACAAAAGCATTAGGAAACGATAATATAGTTTTTTTTTTTGCCAATGAGAAATGAAGCTCTTCATAAATGAAATTTTGTTGATGAGATGCGACTAAATTTTTTTTTTTGGTTTATTTGATGGGTTAATGGGTCTTGAGTTTAGAAATTTTTTGGTTATAATTGGGGAAGACCCAATTAGGTAGAAGGGAATTAATATATTGGATCGGTTTGGATTGGATCGGTCTTCATCAACTCATCCGAAACCCCCAATCCAATTAAAATTTGCGATTTTTTTTCGAATTTCGGTTCGGTCACCACGGTTTGATTCGATTTGGATTGGTTGATGAACACCCCTACTTAAAACAGTTTTTTATTTCAGATTTTGACATATAAATTTTATAGTAGTATCATATTCACGTGAAAATTATAAAACTAAAAAAATAAATTCTTAACTCAATTCAAATGCTATATTTATGTAGCAAAAAATTCATACTTTTATAGTATCTTATTCAAAGGTTGAAATCACAATGACGGTAGTAACGAAAACTTGCTAGAATGTACTAATAAATTTTCTTGAGTTTACCTAATGCATAAATGGGTCTTGGATTTAGAATTTTTTGGAGTATAATTAGGGAATAGGCTCAAGTAGGTAGAGGAGATTGATATATTGGATCGATTTTTACTAACAAAACTGAAAATCTATCCGATTCAATTAAAATTTGTGATTTTTTTTTTAATTTTCTGTTTTCAATTTTGAGTTAATTCAGTTATTGATTTTTTGATTAGTTCGTCGTAATTTAAATCGGTTGATAAACACTCATAATTTACCATGAACTTTAACACGCCGGGTAATGATACAAAATTGGATGGCCAACAGTGGAATGCAAAGTTACCAACATTTAAAGTAGTGCGAGCAAAAAAAAACAAAAAAGGTGGATAAATGTGTGTAAGAAGAACCTTTTCCAAAAATTTGATGGGGTGACCAACCTTTTGTGACGAGTGATGACAATTCAAAGTTGATATAAATTGAGATCCAGAGGCCAGCTGAAGCTGACGTTATCTTCAGTTTGGTCCTCGAGCGGTCCAGCCCACACAAGAGGACAAATAGGTTCCATTTGAAATGTCTCAAAAAGAGAAATATAAGAAATAAAACTGCTTCAATTCCCATTCATATTCACCTATGCGTTGCAAGCTAGCAAAGATACAGAACAAATCATGTTTCATATTTTCTTTTTCGTGGTGGACTTGCCGACTTGGGTAGTGGGTACATACAAATCGCGTTACTTTACCTTACATTTATGCATGTGACAAAGAATAAAAAATGGGCTAACAGTAGAGGTGTCAATATAGAAGTCCGCGGGCTAATATGTAAATTCTTATATTTGACTTTAATTTATTAGGAATTTTTTGTGGTAGGACTTTTTTTTATTTCTAATCCTCAAAGTCTTATAGTTTAGCATACTGATTTATTTAAGTATGATGAGTCTTACATTGATTGATAATGAGTTAAGTGAAGTGGATATAAGTGGATATACTCATGAACCAAATGCCTTAAGGTTTTAGGTTGAGACACGGTGTCGGATCCATTTGTTATGATTGGAGCTTAGCACATTCGTGGTGCTCCCTTGCCACGGACTTGCTTGATAGTGGTATTAGAGTCGAATTAGGCTCAAAAGCTAGCCCGATGTTTGGCTAGGAGGAGAATTGAGTACTATAGGTCTGGGTACTCGTTGAGAGAGAGAGCATACCAATGTTGAGTTTCACACTTGAGGGGAGATTGTTGGAATATTCAAGTGAGATGAGTCTCACATTGATTAGTAATGAGTTAAGTAAAGTGCATAAAAGTGAGAGCATACCAATTAGGGGTGTTCGCGGTCTGGATTGGATCGATTTTGGAAGAAAAAATCATCTGATCCAATCCCTTCGGTTTGATCATATAATCATCCATTCGGTTTTGATTTTTTTTCAAATCTGATCCGATCCAATCCAATTTTTTCCGGTTTGGATTGAATCGGTTTTCGGTTTTTTGAAAATCCTAAAATTCATTTCATGATTATTGTGCAAATAACATCTTTTGTATATATTGGCTTTGTAATTTTTTTTTTTGAAATACAAAAACATTAGTAAACTATAATATAATTTTTTTAATTTTGGCAATGAGATATGAAGCTCTACAAAGATAAAATTTTGTTGATGAGATATGACTAGATTTCTTCTTGGGTTTAGTTGATGGGTTAATGGGTCTTGGGTTTAGAAATTTTTAAGCTAGGATTAAGAAAATACCCAAATAGGTAGAGAGAAATTAATATATTGGATCGGTTTTCATCAACCCATCCAAAAACCGATCCAATCCAATTAAAATTTGTGATTTTTAATCGGTTTTTGATTTTTCAGTTTTCGGTTTATTCGGTTATCAGTTTTTCGGTTCGGTCACCGCGATTTGAATCGGTTTGGATCGGTTGATGAACACCCTTAATACCAATGTTGAGTTTCACACTTGAGGGAGAAATTGTTGGGATATTCAAATGTGATGAGTTTTACATTAGTTGGTAATGAGTTAAGTAAAATGCATATAAGTGAGAGGACCCATGAACTCAATGTCCTAAGGTTTTGGGTTAAGACATGACGTCGAACCCACTTGCTACATTTGACGTAGCCTTAGCCCATTGGCGATGGTCTCCCACCACGAGCTCCCCCTTGGACCCGCCTGACCAGTTATATACACTTGACTTAAACTATTACTAACCAATGTGAGACTCATCACTCTTGAATGACCGAACAATCTCCCGCTCAAGTGTGAAACCTAATATTGGTATGTTTTCCCTCAATCAAGTACCCAGGCCCAAAGTACTTAACCCTCTTCCTAGTTGATAAAAAAAATATTATTTTGAATTATTTTGATATTTGGATTTTTGAAAAATTGCTTTTGTATGATAAAAAAAGCCAATGATATATGAATCTTATTTGTTGTTACAATCAATTCATAAAAAATATTTTTTGGGTCATATTTTAATTTTTTTTGATAAAGAATATATACACTTAAAAGTTTAAAATTAAATTTAAAATAGAAAAAAGAAACAAAAGGATTTATATAATGGAAAGATTGGAAAGATCACTATATATGTTCAAGTGGTAGATCAAAAATTTTGTATGAAGTGTGAAATTATATACATTATAAAATTTAAAA